GAGCTGGGTTAAACTCATTTTTACTACACTTTACAATGTAATATGCTGTGGTCCCTTGGCACCTGCCGGGGATTGGTTCCTGCACCCTGGCTTGGATACCAAACTCCGAGGATGCTCAAGTTCCTGACCGTCAGCCCTCTGTATCTGCCGGTTCCGCATGCACAGAACTGAGGAGCAACTGTGTTTTATTCTCGTTTAGTACTTTCATTGCTGGATGACAGTAGTAGTCATTAAAAAATGTGTTTTTATATAATGTACTTAGGTAATCCTTATAAATCTAACAAATTAAACCCAACTGTGGTGATTCTACTTAAAACTGAATCAACTGGACACCCACAGTTAAGTCAGCCAAAGCTTTGGGGAATGCCTTCTTACCTGGCTGAGATTTCCTGGTGTTCTGACTGTGACTGCCAGGCCAGGTGGCTTTTTGGTCATCGCTATGCCAGACACGTCAAATGAACAAAAGGGGAACTCTCCGCTGAGATCCTTTAGATTCACGTGCTGCACCGCCTGCCTTTTGTGGGTATTTGCCGTCTGCTGCCCCCACCCTCCCACCCAAATGGCTGTATCCCCTGATTGGACTTTGCGTTTCCTCGTCTTCAAAATATGCCGGTATTATCCCACATGGCGGTTAAGATCTTTGAACGTCTCGAAATTCTACATTCTTTTCATATACTTTTGTCTCTTCAACCCACATCCCTTCCACATATTAAAAATGATAGCCAGGTGAACTTTGGGCGTCTCTGGTTTTCTCATGGCTTCTAAGGTCATTCTAGTGATGGGAGGCTGACGTGAGAACTGTTGATTGGCTCTCCCTGGGTGACCCTACTTTTAAATAAAAGCAGACTCCTACGCAGGAACAGAATGTTTAGAAAGTATAAGAAATACCAAATTACAGTGTTCCTGTGTATGTTTAGAAATTATTTATCTGCTTGTTGCCATAATAGGAATTTTCATGTCACCCAAGGGTGAGCTTATGATTTCCATTAGAAGTAAGCTCAGTGACAGGACAGATTTTTCTCTATTTTATTCACTACTGTATTTCCAGTAATAGAATTATACCCAGCATTTAGCAGATACCGAAATTTGTGTTGAATAAATAAAATGAATGAATGAATGTAATTTCTAAATAAATGATAGATTGTTTACTGTTTATACTAGATTGAACCTTTTGCTTCCTTTTAAGTTCTTTCCCCCCCTCTTTTTTTCTTCCAGGCAGAAACCACTAATACTAGCCTCTTACAGGTGCAACTGGAATGCAGTTTACATAATAAAGTGTGTCAGCAATTAAAGGTAAAATGAAAAATTGTGTTTTCTTCCTGGGTTCCTTCCTGCCTCTTTGTTTAAAAATAAATGTTCTGTTCTCAGAAATGCACACGTCCTCACCATAAATGCCCCTCCCCACCGTAGAATTCGAAATAAAAAAAATTCAGATTTTTTTTGAGTTCTTCCTTTCTTTCCCATCCCTCCGATCTCAGAGTTGTTACGTGGAATCTGATGATGTTTTACGGCTACAAATGAGCATAATTGTGACAATGGGAAACTCCTCCAAAGAATTTGAAGAAAACACACAAGATTTGTTAGATCATCTCTCTATCATTTATGTAGCGACAGATAAATCTGAGACTTCAGGTAAGGTGGAGTCTGAAAATTTCTATTCTATTTCGATCAACCTGCATCATGATTCTCTACCATCTGCTTGCAGATTGTATCACTGCAGTGCAAAAGAGAGAGCCTTTGCCTTCATTATGAACAGCTTCCAATAGTAGCTGGTTCTCAGCCTGCATCTGCTAGTAAGGCTGTAATAGTTTGGAGTAAATTGAACGTTAACTGCAAACCATTCTGCTCTTCCCTGGGAATAATTTTTCTTGGAGTTCTGGAGAGAGTGAACAAGTCAAATGGGCACTGCAGCGTAATACAAATATTCACGAAGTATTTGAACTCCTCTGTCTCTTGTTACAGTTTTACTGATTGGCAGCAGCTCAGTTGACCGTATCATACTGTTTGTATTTTTAATAGTTAATTGGGGGGAGGGTACAGCTCAAGTGCTAGAGTGCATGCTTGGCATGCACAAGGTCCTGGGTTCGATCCCCAGTACCTCTGTTAAAAAATAATAATAATAAAATAAAATAAATAAAAACCTAATTACCCCCCTTCCAAAAAAATAGTTGATTGGATGCTGCTTGTTCCTGGGTGCCCGACAGGTTACAGCAGTGCAGATTTTAGTGTTTATTTCTATGCCTTTTATCTCTGAAATTGTGTGTTTCAGTTACTTACCAAAAATAACCTAGTTTATCAGTTTGAGTTTCTAAGAGATTTTGCAGGAGACACATACTATGTGATCTGTGACATTTATTATGTAGGGTTTGCTCTTACCCAGTGGTTATCAATGCTGTTTGTTGTGGGTGTGTGTGTGTGTGTGTGTGTGTATACACATACACATTCAGAGAAGAAATGGTCCCAGAGTGTCCTTTTACATTGGCAGTCTTAACTCTGTCCTTCCCAGTCCGCAGATTTAGTTGTGTTGTAGTCAGGGGTCAGCAGGAAAGCTTCCTGCCCTTGGGTTCACAGTTCTTGGTGATTCCCAGAATGTCCAGGTGGACCTCAGTGTAGAGAAGACCCCTGTCCCATGAGGAGCACTTCTCTTGGGGAGGATGAAAAGGAAGGCTGCATTTTGAGATCCCAGGGTTTTGTTTTTCCTGAGTGGAAATAAGGAAATGAGGGGCTGTCTAATCAGCAGGAGGACCTGGCTTTATTTGAAACTGTCCAGTTGGTTAGTTTCATCCAGGGGAGTCATAATACGGCCCTGAAGTTAGACTTTTTCTATGGGTAGTTCATCATTCAGAGAGCCTGGGGTGGTAGGTCAGTCCTTTTGCCACTGCCCTTTCTCTTGTCACTTAAAAGAATATCCAACAGAAAGTAGCTCCTCATTTCAATTTTAGTGTTGAAGAACGAGTTACGTTTTTTAATAGAAATGTGTAATGTGATATTTTAACTACTGTGTGAAGGGGTGAGAAGATGGTCCTTTGTTTTAATCTCATTTCTCTGATTCTTTTGGGCAGATGATTCGGCGGTAAATATGTATATATTGCATTCAGGAGACAGCCTTCTATGGATACAGGTAATTGTAAATGCTTGCATGAGGTGGATTTTAAACTTACAAGTGTATATGGCATTGCAGAACATGAGGATTTTTGAGGAAACACTTGTCTCTGTTCTCTTCTGCAATGATTTAAACCTGTTTTCGCTGCTTGAACCCATGTTTGGACGAAGGTCGTCTGCACCCCTTCGTCCTGTTACAGGCTTATCTGCTAAGTAGTTGTGGTGTACACCAGTCTGAGCTACCTAGTCATTGGAACAGAGTTAATTCAAACCGGATACAGCTTCGCCTGGCTGAGAGCAGTCCTGTGGATTGTTTTTTGTTACAGGATGTCCATCATTTCTCACAGAGAGATGCCCTGTCTCTGCAGTTTGAACCAGTGCTCCTACCTACTTCTGCAACAAACTTTACAAAAATTGCTTCTTTTACTTGCAAAGGTACAGATTTAAAAAATACTGAAGGTTGTCTTTGTGTTTTGGGTATCTAGCTGTTAGGATGGCCATTCTTTCTGTAAAATGACTCCCAGCTACAGCTTAGGCAAGG